CGCTGATTAGAACTGTTAATCCATGGCACTGTTGACTACTTCTCAAGCTTTGCTGATTTTCTCTTTATTTGTTCAGTTACTAAAAAAGTAGTGTTGAAGTCTCCAACTATAATTGTGGGTTTGTCTATTTCTCCTTTCTGTTCCATCCAAAAACTCCATGTGAAGTTTCGCTTCACATATTTCTAGCTAGGTTGTTTGAGCATACATATTTAGGATTCCTATGTCTTCTTGGTGGATTTATATCTTTATATAATGTCTCTCTGTCCCTGGCATTTTTGTTTGTTTTGATGAGTAGTTTATTTGCTATTACTGTAGCCACTGCTACTTCCTTTGATTGATGCTTGCATGGTACATCTTTTTCCATCCTTTTACTTTCAACTTGTCTGTAACATTATATTTAAAGTGAGTTTCTTATAAAAAACATATAGTTGGATCATGCTTCTTTAATCCACTTAGTCAGTGTCTGTCTTTTCATTGGTATATTTAGCCCATTTATATTTAATGTAATTATTGGTATGTTAAGGCTTAAATCTTCCATTTTACTATTTGTTTTCTGTTTGGTCTATTTTTCTCTGTTTTTTTTTTTTTCTTCTTCATTCCTATAGGGTTATGATAATATTTTTTAGAGATCCATATTGATTTCTGTAGTCTTTTTGAGTGTATCTCTTGATAGCCTTTTTAGTGGTTGGTCTAGATATCATATTATTATAGATATCATATTATTATAAATAATCACAATATACTGTCATTGTTTTACCAGTTAAGAATAGGGTGTAGAAACCTTACCTCCCTTTATGGCTCTTCCCCTCTGTTTATTATAATTATCTTAAATATTTCCTCTACATACATTTAGAAGCACAACAGACAGTGTTATCATGTCTGTCTCAACTGTCAAACATAATATATAAAATCCCAGAGAAGGAAAACTAGTCACTTTCACTTTTCACATTCTTTTCTCCTTCCTGATGTTCCAAGGTTCCTTCTTCTGTTTTTGCCTTTGTATTTAAATACATTCATTTAGCAGTTGTTTTAGGGCAAGTCTGCTATAAAAAATGCTCTCATTTTCCCTTTTTTGAGAATGTCTTAATTTCCCTGTCATTCTTGAAGGATGGAGATATATATATATATATATATTTAATGTTTATTTATCTTTGAGAGAGAGAGAGAGAGAGAGAGAGAGAGAGTGGGTGTGTGTGAGAGTGCAGGGGAGGGGCAGAGAGAGAGGGAGACAGAAAATCCCAAGCAGGCTCTGCACTGTCAGCACAGAGCCTGACACAGGGCTTGATTTCACAAACCATGAGATCATGACCTGAGCTAAAATCCAGAGTCGGACACTTAACTGACAGAGCCACCAGGAACCCACTCCTCCTGAAGGATATTTTTGATGGGTCTCTGGATTGGTAGATTTTTGGGATTTGGGGCTGATGGTTGTTTTCTTCCGGCACTTGGAGAATGTTGTGCAATTTCCTTGTGGCCTCTGTGGTTTCTGATGGGAAATCCTTTTTGCTCGGATTGTGTTTCCCTCATAGGTAAAGTGTCCTTTTCCCCTGGCTGCTGTTAAGATTTTGTCTTTGAATTTAGTTTTCAGAATTTTAACCATGTGTCTTGGAGGAGATTTGGGCTTACCCTGTTTAGGGTGCTCAGCTTTGTGAATCTTTAGGTTTATATCTCTTGCCAAACTTGAGAAATTTTCAGACATCAAGTTTTTGAATGCCCTTTCAGCCACACCTTCTTTTTTTCCCCTTCTGGAACTCTGATAATATGAATGTTAGATCTTTTGTTATAGCCCCACAGTCCCTGAGGCTCTTTTTTTTTTTTTTTTTTTTTAAAGACTGTTTTCTCCCTGTTGTTGGAATTGGATGATTTCTGTTGTTCTCTTATCTAGTTTACTGACTCTCTCCTCTATCCCTCATCTTTCTATTCAGTGCATCCACTGAGCTGTTTATTTTGGTTTGTGTATTTTTCAGTTATAGTATTTCCATTTGGCTCTTTTTATATTTATTTATTTGCTGAGACTTTCTGTTTCTTTGCTAAGGCTTCTAGTTTTTCATTTCTTTCAAGTATGTTCATAATTGTTCATTGAAGCATTTTTATTATGACTGCTTTACAATCTTTGGTAGGTAAAGCTAACACTTCAAGCCTCGGCGTTAGGGTCTACAGATGAGATCTTCCTGGTTTTTGGTATGACTAGTGATTTTCTGTTGAAACCTGAACACTTTTGTACTATATTATGAGACTCTGGATCTCACTTAAGCCTTGTGTTGTTGTTTTTTTAAGATTCTATTTATTTTGAGAGAGCGAGAGAGAGAGCACAAGCAGGGGAGGGACAGAGAGAGAATCCCAAGCAGGCTCTGCCCTGCCTGTCCGGAGCCTGATGCAGGGCTCAAACTCATGAAGTGTGAGATCATGACCTGAGGTGAAATCAAGAGCCAGACGCTTAACTGAATGAGTCACTCAAGCACCCCTAAGCCCTGCATTTTAACAGCTTTTTCTGACACTGCTCTGCCAAGGTGGGTGAGGGGTCCCTGTTACTAACATGGGGGTGGGAGTCCGGGTTTACCACTAGGCTTCTGCTGACATCTGTGCTGAGGGGTCTAGTCCATGTATTGGGCAGGGTGGGTGGGTGGGAGTTTGATCTCCCTATGTGGTCTCCACTGACATGGGGGGGGGGGTACCACCTGCTCCCTACGTGGCTGCTTTGCCAACCCGGCAGAGTTGGGGGGGGGGTCATTGGCCTTGTTCCAGCTTCATAAGGGAGGACACCCAGGCTGCCTCTTGGCCTTTGTTGTCATGGGTACAGGCTGTGCTGTGCTGTTTTTGGCAGTGTTTGATGAGAGTGGAGCTGCTGTTGTCTAAAATGTGCTAAGTAGCTCCCTTCCTGGGCCTCTGGCTGGGGAGAGGTGACCTCAGTCGGGGCTTCACCTACACTTGGTGCTCCTGGGTTGCTGGCTGACTCAGCTCCAGTGTGAGGTGCATAAGGCCAAAGGACAGCCCAGGGAGCCCCACAGGTGTGGTTCCTCAGATTCCCTAGGACCGCAGAAGTCTGTCTTCCGCCCACCCCTCGTAGCCTCCTGTGCATATAATCTGTAGGGTTTTAGTTGTGCCTAGTGGGAGGGGTAGGAAGAATGTGTCTTCTCCGTCTCCCTGGCAGCAGTCAGCTCTTCCTAGGGTTTTGTCTTCTCAGTAGCCTTGAGAGGAGTTCAGAGAGAATGTCTAATGCCCTAATGTATGCATTGCTTTGGTTTTGCATCCAAGTGTCCAGTTTCTGCCTGCTCCCAGGAAAGCTTAGAAGTCAGTCTAGGGGTTCCGGGTCTCCCTGAGATTACCTGTACGGAACACCTTTATCAGTTGGCCGACTGTTGTGATTGAGCCCTCCTTACAGACCCCAGAATTGAATTGGCTCAGGCTCTTGTGCTGTTTAGTATGTGTGCTGCCAAGGCGAGCACTTGTGCTCTTTAGATTAAAAAATACATTCGAAGTTTCGTTATTTTAAATTCTACAAATGAAAAATTTTTATGGGAAGTTCCTTTTGTGCTCTTTATTTGTTTGTTTCCGGATAGATATTAAGACCACCCTTTTGGGAATGGCATGGTTAAACTATGCTTACTTTCTCAATTCACAGTGCTAGATACTATGCTAATATTACAAGTGTGCTTTCATTTGAGAATCCTCCCAGGAATGAAGCAATGGTTAATAGCCACATAAGCATACACTTCATATGGGTGGTTTTTTTAGTTGCTTTTGGCAAGTGGAAGATGCTTGCTTATTATTAAGTACATTTCATCCTGAAGTAAGGGTAACAGTGACTATGGGGTTCAGTCTCCCTGCAGCGACCCATTCTCTAAATGCTATATTCAAACAGGGCTGCTTAGAACAAGTTGCCATTAGAGGCTAGCCTGTTTGGTGAGTTTTCCCATCAGCTTCCCCTTTGGGTAATGCCATAGAGCCTTTTGAGATTCAGAAGTGTTCCAACTGTTTGAATCTTGCCATTTGTAAATGAAAAAAAATGTTAGATTTGCATTTGAAAAAAGAATTCAAGTGTGTTCATGAAGGCAGCTTATATCTGCTGAGCCCTTTTTATTCCCCAGAACATGTGGTTCTCAGCAAGTTCTGGACCTCCCTGTACCACACTCACGCACACACATAAACAGGCACAGAGCCGTCCTGATTTGAAGATTTTGGTAATGTGTTTTTGAACAGGGCATAAAAATATATCTCTGTAATTACATGATATTTAGTGATTAGATAATTATGGATAATTGCATGGGGTAGTTCTAAGTGCTAAAGTGTTACCATAAGATCTAAAATGTACAAATTGCATAATAATTATTCTTGGGAGTTATTTGGTAATTTTGAGCATAATTATCATGTGATCTGCAGTGCATGTAATTAATGCATAATCACATGCATTTTGCCTTCATAACTACTTCGCTCTTGTTATAAAGCTCTTTGTCATAACATTTGAGTATAAATATAATGTAATTGGCTCCCAGATACAGCACATTAGGCCCCATGATAATTGCCTTCAGAGTAACAGTACCCTTATTTCATTACAAACGTGTGGCTCTGAGGCAGGCTGGAGCTCCAAGGAGCCCGAGACGTGGCGGTGAGGAGCAGGACGGCGGTTGAGTGGTGGGTAAACGTGTGCACATTTGGGTCGAGAATGTCTTTGCTATGACCAGGACCTTTCCATGAGGAAGTCTGCATCTTTTGCTGGGGACAAATCCGTGAAATGTGCTCCTGGTTCAAGGGCGCCTTGCTGTCCAGCCACGCCACCACTGCGCCTAGTGTTTTTCATCCGACAAAGCACCCATCATATTTCTGGTCTAGATGTCTCAGAAGGCGGGGATTTCTAGAAGGAAAAGACCTTATTAGTAAACCGCAGTGAGCGCTTTGGCATTGCGGGAAAACTTGGAAACAGCAGCAGTTTCTCCTGTGACCGAAACAAGAGCTTTGCTCACCTTCCACGTTGATAATGCAGCTTTTGCATCTGTCCCCAGGCTTCACATGGCAGGATGACTACACCCAGCACGTGATGGCCCAGGAACTCTTGAACCTTCCCTCCCCGCAACATCTGGACGCCTCCAGCACAGCCAGGTAAGTAGATGCGGTTTATGTCTCCTTGCTCTCTGGCCACGGCCAGCATCCATCAAGCTTGTTTTTGTTTGAACCTATTGTCTTTTGGGTGTAGAGGGACCAGAGAGTTGGAGAAGTCCAATACGGAGCAGATGGGTGCTTTCCTTTCCTCTGTGTCCGAGCCCAGTGGAGCCAGATGCATTGGCGTAACCCTGTAGCCAGGGGCTGTCCTCGTTGACAGACCTCCCGAGGGCCCTGTCCCTTTCCCAAGACCCTTGGAAAGCCCTGCATCTTCAGAGCCTTGGTTGGAAGCAGAGAAGTCAAGATTTCTCATTTCCCAGTAAGAATTTATGTTCTCTTTAGTACAAAAAGCAGAATTAAATCCTGGAAGTTTTCCCGCTGCCAGAGCCTAGCAGTGCTGCGCTGAGTGTTTCACTCTGCAACATCTCATCGCCTCCTCGCGGCGCACCGTGAGGGCTCCTAATCTCCCACGCACCCTTGCAGGGAAGGAAAGTGGGACACAAGAAGTTGGAGGCTTAGTCCAAAGCAGACAGGCCACAGTGAGCCAGCTGGGATTGTCTCGTCCCTCAGCCATTGAACTATATATTCTTCAAGTGAATAAAAAGTGAAAAGCCCTTTCCCAAAGGCTTAGGGAAGTTGGGAAAGTCCTTTTTTTTTTCCCCAAAGAAAGGACTATTTGAAACTTCAGTTAGGAAAATCTCAGTTGCACAGAAACGTGGGCATCTGCCTTTAGCTCATGTTCCTCTAATAAGTGAAGGAGCTAAGCCGCCAAGAAGTTCATTTCCGAATCCAGGGAGATTAGGTGAGTGAGCACGTGTAAAGGACTTGTGCACGCTGAGAACAGTTCCCATCTTAGCTCTTCTCCAGCCAGACTAGGGGTTTCTTTAGGTGGAAAATGTGTCCTTCTGTGTCCTGCGCCCAGCTGTCAACCTTGAAGGCCTCCTTTGTCAAAGAGAATATGCCATTAGAGTCTGTGAGTGTGTGTAAGACCTCTCTGTAAGAAAAAACAACCAAAAAGCAAAGTCAAGCTATCTTGAATTTCCATTTTTGTTTTAGATGACTTCCTACTCTTTGCACTTGTCTTTAAATTACCCTTGGGCATTTCAGTGCTGCCCACTGCTCCTTCCTTCCTAGTGAAGATTGAACTTCACTGAGATGAGGGGCACTGTGCCAGGTAACCTTGAACTCCACCATGAGCAAAGGGTAACTCCTTGGACAGCTGAGGTGAGAGAAAGACCAGAGCACAGCATCACCCAAAGACCTACGTTTGCAGACGAGGTGAGGCTGTTGAACAGACACCTGGATGACCACCTTCTTACCAATGTCAGTATTGTCATTTGCAAAAATTGCCAGCTTTATTATGAAAAGCGACACCTTATCTTTGTTGCTTTAAAAAAATTTTTTTTCAGTGTTTTTTATTTATTTTTGGGACAGAGAGAGACAGAGCATGAACGGGGGAGGGGCAGAGAGAGAGGGAGACACAGAATCGGAAACAGGCTCCAGGCTCCGAGCCATCAGCCCAGAGCCCGACGCGGGGCTCGAACTCGCGGACCGCGAGATCGTGACCTGGCTGAAGTCGGACGCCTAACCGACTGCGCCACCCAGGCGCCCCTCTTTGTTGCTTTTTAATAAATAAGATTAAAAGTTTAAAAACATTCATATTAGAGATTGGAATTTTCTTCTTTATGGATTTCCTATGCATGCTTCTTGCCCATATGAAAAGTATTTTTTTTATTTTTCTGTTTTGTTTCTTTCAGTGTAGAGCCTTTATATTTGAGGCTAGTAACCTTTCACGTATCCCGTCTTGTAGAGGTATCTTTTTGGTCTGTACCGTAGATGACACCAGTATAGTTGCTAATGACAACAGAGTGCCCTTAGCTCTCTCTAGGCTGGATTTTTAATCTCTGTCTTTGAGAGTGTTGAACCTAAGTAAACCAATTATCCCAGCTCTACCAGCAGAGCCCTATTTTTGGAGGACTTGATGGGACGTTCTCCACATTCCTGTCCGTCTCACTCCTGGCTCTGGCCCCCGAGGGACGGTGTTCCTAGGCTGTGTCAGTAGGCGCCCGTGTCCTCAGGCTGGGTCTGGGTTTGGCCAGTGGGATTCAGCCCAGCTTAGAGGGCAGAGAAGAGGGGGTCAGGATGGCAGCGGGACCTGGGCAGCGTGTCTCCTCCCTCCTGTTGGTCTGGTGGTTCGCCATGGTCATCTCTGTTGTGCCTCTCAGTCCTGTAAACAGTGCCTTGTTCAGTTACACGGACATCCTGCTTCAGGGTCCAGTCTGTTTCCTGATGGCACTCTGCCTGACAGGCAGTCTCAGCAACAGAATAGAGGCACAGATTCCTGCCATCGTCTGGCTCCGGCCTCCTTGCAGCGAGGGTCACGGTCAGACGGTCATCATGGTACAGACAGTACTTTTCCCTCTTTTCAAAACTTTCTGCACTTTCTTTAGCATTGAGATGATCTGTTTACCAGTGTACATACTTTTTAATAGTCTTTCTCTGTAGGTATATCTCATAACACTTCATTGTCTTCCAAGACTATTGTTTAAAATATGCTCACAGTTTTTCTTGTGTAAAATTGAGGCATTTGTATTTTTGCAGAGAGCTACCCTCCTTTTCACAGGGACTTCCACATTTGTTAACTTGTGATACATAGAGTTGGATTATAGTTCAAAAATCCATTCAACATGTAGGTAGTGGTCACTCTTCTCATTTTTAGCATAATTTTTTTTCACAATTTTAACATGATTTTTAAAATTACTTTTCTCTTGGATTTTCTTACTGTCCTTACACTTACTTTCTTTAAAATGGTTATTTATTTACTTTGAGAGGGAGAGAGAGCATGCATGTGCACACATGAGTGGGGGGGGGGCAAAGAGAGAGGGAGAGAGAGAATCCCAAGCAGGCTGCGTGCTGTCCGCACAGACCCCGATGTGGGGCTTGAACTCACAAACCGTGAGATCGTGACCTGAGCCGAAGTCAAGAGCTGGACGCTTAACTGAGCATCCCAGAACCCTTAGACTTGTTTTTTATAAAGCTTCTCGAGTTCAACTTTTTTTCATGTTTCTACTTACTCATTTTTTTAAAAAGTAATGAAATTACAAAAGTTTGTGCATTAGCTTTGGAACATAGTTTTTGTCCCGTCCCGTGACTGACGTCTACTTGTTTGCTTTTGCTCTAAATTATCTGTCACTGTAAATTTGTACCTTTTGAAAGTAGCTAGTGCCTGGTTTTTCATGTTTATATTGTTTTTAAACTTGAAATTAGCACTTAGTTTATTTCATTTTAGTCAGGCAGTGTGACCTGTTCAGCTTTTAGGTTCTGGAGATTTTGAGGTTTTCTCTGTGGCCTATTTTATGCCATCTTGTTATTAATTTTCAATGGATAAAGATATCATACCCACTATTTGCAGGGTGCAGGTTTTTACATATAGTTGATGATTCTATATAGTTTATAATATGTCCTTAATTATATTTGACTTACTGAAATTTCTCAGACAAAACTGTTTCTGTGAATTTTCCTTTTGTTGTTAATATATTTCCCTTAAACACTGAGGCTCTGACTTTTGGGCACATAAAGGCTGCTGCTTTACATCTTTATTGGTGATCGCTGAACCCATGGTCACTTCCAAAGGGTGCCTTTGTTGACTTTAATGATTTTTGTCTTGGATTCCATTTTTCTAAAATTAGTATTGCCATTCCTGCTTTTTCTTTTTCATTTGCTGCCTAATTGATCTGGCTGTCCTTTAAAATTTCAGCCTTTGGACTTTCTCTCTTTTACACGTGGATTTCTTGAACGTCAGTCGGCACTTTTTCAGCCCCCTGGACGGCTCGCTGAAGGCCCTGCTGTCCCTGCCCGCTCCCGTTTCGTCTGCGGAGTGTGACCTGGCTGCTTTTGTTGTCTGTCGTGTTGTGGCCGTCACCTTCTTGGTTTGCGGATATTTTTAAAGTGCGAGTTTCTACCGTCATTAGTGAAGAAATCGGTGTCTTCCACCTTATTACGCTTCTGCCTTCTCTCCCTCTGTCGCCTCTCTAGGCGCTGCTTCTGACCCAGGGACCCCCAGCCCCTGGCACGTGCTTTTTACCAGGTTGACACGTGGCCAGTATTGAATCAGTGAAGGAAAGACAGAATGAATGATCTACTGACACTTTTGAACGATTATGTGGGTGACCACGCCAACCAAGAATCCTTCCTCACTTTCTTCGTCCCATAGGGCATTTCTAGAGCATTCTACACTTGATAGATTTGTCAGTATCCACAACTGGCCAGTGAGATATACTTGGCATGCTTCATACAAGACAGTTAACCTTCAGAGAGATTAACTTGCCTGGATGGTTTAGAATCACCTTCAGGAAGCCCAGCCCTGCTCCTGTGCTACCCAGAGTAAGCACTGCATGTGAAACCCAGAAAGCAGGCCCATCAGTAATTAGACGCCGGACGTAAGGAGCGGAGGGGAAGCGTGAGGGGTCACTGGGAACGCAGGAATCTGAGCCTGCCCTTTGCTGGTTCTCCTGAGAGCCAGAGGAGGTGAGCAGGAGGCCCGCAGCCTGTGTGGAGCTCTGGTGAGTCACACAAGACTGCCCGGGAGCATTGTGTCAGGTGGCCACGAGGCTTCTACGTGAAGAGTGAAAAGGTGGTTTCTCAGTAGCTACCACGACTGCGAAAGGAGTGAGAACAAGGCTCACTGCCTGCTCCCTGTAAAGATTTCGTTCCTAGTCTGGGCTTTTTTTTTTTTTTTTTTAAGCAAATTTTCTAAATTTTACATTATTCTAAAACCTTACATTCTAAATCTTACGTTATTTGGAGCCTGAAGGTCTGTGCATGCATGTGAGAAAGAGAATACTGGAGTCCTAAATGCAAAGTGCGTTTGGTCTTTTAGAAGTGGAAAACGTATACTTACAAAGTTTTGACCGACCTCGAGCTGAATGCCAGGCTAAGCCCATTTGCAAGTTCACTGCTCCAGGCTTGCCCCACGTAGTGACGGCAGACTCTTCACTGTAACATATTACAGCATCACAGACAAACCCACTGGCAACAGACATTCCAAGAGGATGAACGAGACAACCGAAAGGCACTTTTATGAGGTTAGCAATTTGTGACGGAGAAAGACAAACTGCCAGAGAAGTGAATCGACTTTAGTTAAAATACATGTCGATGTCATAGAACATATTTCCTCCCTTCAATAACGGCGAGGAGACACCAGCCATGGTTTGAGGTCAAAGTACCATGAAGTCCTTATCACCTGTGAGGTTCACTATGGTGTAGCTTGAAAAGGCATCAGAAATCAAAGCAGGACAACTTTGTCAATTGAGGCAATTAAACGCAAACAAGAGGATTTTCTGTAAGTCCTAGTTTTTATGAAATATGTACAAGTACCACACCAACATTAATGATCCATTCTTGAAAACCAGAATTTCTATGTGAAAAACCTAGCCAGGATCCTGTTCTCCATTCCTATAAGTGGGAAGTCTAGAATGAGTCACACACCCACCTAAACCCCAATACATTTCCTGAAGCTTGTCAAGATCACCCTGAAGACCCACATATAAGTAACAAACTGTCACGTTTATGTAAAATACTTAAGACGCTGCTTCCTGGTCACTAAAAGTGTAAATGACTACTAACAAATTGAGCATTTTATTTGCTGTAACTCAACCTCACCCAGCCTGCAAGACATATACACAGACCAGACACACAAATGTAGACACACACACGGATGCACACAGGCATGCACACACACACAGGGATGCACCAGAAAGGTGCGCACACACACACACACACACACACACACACACAAACACAGACATATAGACACATGTAGACACAGGGCCCTGAATGGAGGAAGTTGATGCATTCTCAGGCCTTGAGCTCTGTTCCCCCTTCTCCTGGGTTTATGGCCTTTCTTTCTTTTTTAAAATTTTTTAAGCTTATTCATTTTATGAGAGAGAGAAAGCACAAGCCACTCTCTCTGCCTCTCTCATGCTGACAGTCTGCACTGTCAGCACGGAGCCTGATGTGGGACTTGAACTCATAAACCGTGAGATCATGACCTGAGCCTAAGTCGGACGCTCAACCCCCTGAGCCACCCAGGCGCCCCTGTGGCTTACGGCCTCAACCCTGTGCTTGCAGAACTGATGGCTATTCTGTTTACATATCAAAATGCCTTATTTCTAGAATTACCACAAAACTTTCTCATAGTTGGTACACTTACAAACAAAAGTGAAAATTCAATGATTACTCAAAAGCAAAGTCTCTCCAAGTACAAAACTCAGCACAGAAAGGATGGGAAGAAATGGAAAAAACAGGAGATGAGTCTGTGCCCTTCCTGTGTGCTGTTTTTCTAACCCTCATGTTGACATTGTGTGAGCTGCACCCGCTTTCCAGCAGTCTGGAATATTCTTGTTCAACGTCAAGGGTACTTCTGGCAGATAATTAAAAAAATACAAATTTTAAAAACCAGTATTTACTTACATGAAGGTCAAATGCATTTAGTAGCAAAAAAAAACCCACCCACATATGTGGCTATGTAAATGTCAGAGCTTATAATTGCTTATAATTACTTATTATTCAAAAATCAGCTGCCACATTTATTGAACATCCACTACAGAGAGCACAATTTGAGGTTATATACAGTTGCCACGGGAAACGTGTCTGGTTCTTTCTACACAAACAGTATTTGTGGTTGTCAGGGAGGCCTAACAGGCTGGGAGTATGATGTCTTCTATAATCTAAAATGAGACACTTTTCTTTCAAAAGAAAAGTAATTTGATCACACCCCCCTCTCCCCCTCCCCCCCCCCCCCCCCACTACACCACAATGATCACTTTTGTCACCTTGAATTCACTTTCGGTGATAATTTTTAGGTTGCACAGGAAAGGTGTCATTTAACAGGTTAATAATGTGAAATGTGAGCGTTTTGGGCTAACTCTGCATCGACCCAGAATTTACCGTCTGTATCCAAGTTCTTTCTTTCAGTCACCACGTACTCTTTCAGTGCCTGCTGAGTTAGGCTCTGCGTAAATTCGGGGCTTTGGAGCAGAGAACGTGAAGAATATAGAGAAACACGACCCCTTCCCTCAAGCAGCTTTCATTCTAGTGAGAGGATATGTAGCAACAAATAAATAAATAAAGACGGTCATTTCAGTCAGTAATAAAAGCTACAAAGAATTGAAGGTAATGTAATAAGCCACGAGCGGAACACACCTCGGGTTGGATGTGGCTGGGAGGGAGTTTCTGAGCTACGAGGTGAATGAATGTCCAGGGAAGTGGAGTGTGATTGGGGCTTTTACCGGTTAGTGATGTGACCTGGTGAACTTTCCAGAGGCCCCCATGGCTTCCAGGTGACAGAGGGGAGAGGCCCCCCGGGGCCATCGCGCACGGCTGCTCGTGACTTACATGAGGGGGACGTGGATGGGCTTGGGGGGTCTCTGGGTCAGCCCGAAGGAGTGTGTGATGTGCGAGTGAGGAACAGAGACGAGGGAGTAGAGAAGTGAGCCCTGTGGGCTACGGCCGGGGCACAGGTGGGTGATGTTGCCATCTGCAGAGATGTGTCAGTGGGCACAGCGAAGCCGGCCGCAGGCAGCGTGATGTGGGAGGAAAAACAAACTGGCAGGTGGCTCCTAAGGAGAGGGAACCTGGACTTGACGGTCTGGGAAGTTCTCAGCCTCTCCACGTTACACACGGTGCCGGTGTTAGAGCTCGTCGTCAGACAAGCTCCTCGCACGGATCAGGGCATCAGAGAGTTCGGTGACACAGAGGGGTCTCTGAAGAGAGAGCTTGCTGCTTGGTCTCCTGCCCCATTTAGGGTGTGTCGTGGCCCTTCGGGGGCGGCTGCTTTGCTCAAAGCAAGGCCGTCAGCGGGCTGGGAAGTTCTGGTCGATGGGTCCAGGCTGTGAGATGGCTGGACACAGAGGTCAGCTCTCCAGAGCCAGGGCTCTGGGAGGCCGTGGGGAATGGGAGGACTGGGGGCTGATCCGGACGGGAGGCCACGGAGGGGCCGGATGAGTTTCCTGGATGGGTTGAGGCCCGTGACCCTGACTTCCTGCCGGTAGGGGTGCTACCCGGTCGCTTCCTCTGTGCCTCTGGTTCTGGCCTCGTTCAGCCTGTGCAGAACGTCTCTGTCTGCTGGGCAGTTGGTCGTTCTCTTAATGACTTTGAGCATAAGTCCAGCGGTTGCCCTCTCGCCTCTCACGTCCGTGCTGGATCGGTCAGCCTGCATTTCCGGCCTCGTCCTGGCCTCCCCTCCTGGACACAGCCACGGCCTTTCTGGTCGGCACTCGGGCGTGAAGCAGCGTCTGGCTTCGGAACAAGCCCCATTTGTGTCTCGCCGCCACATGGAAAGAAGGCAGAAAGCTTCTCTCGGTCACTCCTGCTGCAAACCTGTGTTTGCCTGGCGTGGACCGCACACACGGATGGTGATGCGTACGTGGCTCTTCCGTAGTGCCGGCGTAGAAATGTTCGGCACTGCGTCAGTTTCCTGCTGTGACAGATCGCCACAGACCCCGTGGCTTACACGGTGACCGCCTGTCACCTCGCAGTTCCCTGGGTCACAAGCTCAGCCTGGGCCTCTCTGAGCCAAAGCCTGTGGAGTCTCAGGGCGGCCCCTTCTGGAGGGCCGGGCTGGACCTGTTTCCTCCCTTTTGCGCTCTTCCCCGCCTTCCTGGAAGTCATCCTGCCCCTCATCACTCCGCCACCGCCTTCCACCTCCTCGCCCTCTGTTAAGGACCTGTGGCCACACTGGGGCTCCGGGGTAACCCGGGATCAGGCCCCCGTCTCAGAGTCAGCTGACCGTGGGTCTAGTGCCATCTGTGCCCTGGGACCCAGCACGCTCGTGGGCCCTGGGAGTCAGGAGGGCACCTCTGGGTCACTCTTCTGCAGCCGTGAGCAGCGAGCCATCGGCAGGTGCTCCCTGCATCTGAACAGTCATGTATGTGGGGTGTTTGCTGAGGCGTTGGGGTGCGGTGAGACCACGGAGGGCTTGATTTCAGGGCTCTTTGTACTGTATGTCACTGGGGGAGAGCAGCCTCCGCCTGTGGGACACCCACCTGCCCTGTCTGTAACGAGGTCAGCTCTCAGTTCCGCTGCCTCGACCTGCACTCGCGGCAGCCGGGGCTCAGGCCTCAGACCCGTTCTCGGCTCTTGGTTTTGCCTTTGCCTCCTCTGCCTGTGTTCCTTCCTCCCCAGCCTGTTCCATTTCCCAAACCTCAGAGCCCCTTCCACGTGAGCCTCCCGTGTTGCGGGCCCACCGCACAGCCCTGCCCTCTGCTCCTAGGATCGGCCTTGCAGCAAGTCCTGGCTGCTTTCTGTCTGCTGGCTTTTGCCTCCCACCCCCGGTGCTCAAAGAGGCCGCGTTGACCTCTCCAGGGGCCCCTCATCAAGTGCCCACGGTGGCTCGGAGACGCGTCAGGACACCAGGCTCAGGGAGGCGCCTGAGAGATTCAAGTCCAAGGCTGATGTGCGTCAAGGAGGCGGGCCTCACCCTCTGGCCCTGAGACCCGTGTCCTTGCTCAGGCTCCAGGGCCGTCCCGCGTGCATTTCTGTCACGCGGAGCAGAGGGCCAGGCAGCTAATTGACATAAACAAATGTGCGACTGGCTCATAGTTTTCTTTTGCGTTTCAGAACCTCGAAGCAGAGTGTGGATGAGGACAGGAGGTCCAGTCTGGAGGACGACGGTGGTCTGGCCAGGGCTGTCCAGCGCTACCTGCCATACCTGGAGGCCCTGTCCCAGGCTGTTGCTCCAAACGTGCGCCTCCGCACAAAGCACAACAGGCCGCCAGCCCAGGTGAGCCTCGGAGCTCCGTGGTCCGGGGGGGTGTCTTTCACCTGCCACGTGCCCTTTTCTCCAGTGTGAGTCTTTGGCATTTCCTGGTTTCTCTCCTGAGTCCCGGACTAGTATGTGGTACAGGGACGGTCAGGGCGTGTGCAGAGAATGCTCCTGGACCCTGCTCAGAGGTGCACACGACACTCCAGCAGTGGCTGCCCACCCACCGTCCACACGGAGCCAGTCAGCAGTCCAGGACCCTTAGGGGGTGAAGGTCTTCAGGATGTCTTCCTTGGAGCAGGCTCGGGAGCTCTAGAAAGCCACCATCAAATACAGATAGGACACCTACAGGCAGCAAAGAGGGTGTTTCCTCCTTTACCGCCTTTACAGCAGTGGACGCTCAGTTGTGAGGGAGCAGAACCGGGACCCTGAATTTGGCTGGGGTCAGGGGGGCCCAGGGGAGCCTGCTGTCCTGGTGAGTGAGCCCGGGACTGTGCTGGGGTCAGGGGGACCCAGG